GAAAACCGTTTAAACAAATCCAAAAGGCTTTTAAACAAACTTAAAAATCCTTCAGAAGCTGATGTGATTTGGTTTTTCTCAGATGAGAAAAATTTTGATCAAGAATAAAAACTTAACAGAAGAAATGACAGATGGCTTTGTTCAGATCCTTCTGAGGTGCCAAGAGTGATGCACACAAAATTTCCTTTAAGTGTTATGGTATTGGGTATTGTTAGCAATGAAGGACATGTTACCACAAGGTCTTAGAATAAATGCTGCTGCTTACATTGAGGTTCTTGAAACAGTTGTCAAGCCCTGGATTGACAACATATGCAACGGCAGGCCTTATTTCAGCAAGACTCGGCTCCATCTCACAAGGCTCTACGAACACAAGAATGGATAGCTGACCATTTGTACGAACACATTACACCCAACATTTGGCCTCCTAACTCTCCAGATTTCAATCCACTAGACTATTATGTGTGGAGCGTTGTTGAGAAGGAGGTTAATAAACAGCCTCATAACACCAAAGACTCTCTTAAATCTGCAATAGTTCGAGTAATGTCTTATATAAATAAGGACCAATTAATCAGAGATTGCAGCAGATTTCGACCTCGTGTAGAGGCAGTTATTGATGCTAGTGGTGGTTTTATTGAATAAAATTAAATAATAGTTAGCTAAATTTCATGTTTACTTGTTTGTAATCAAATATAATAATATTCATTTGTTAAGCAAACTTTTTAATAATCCATAAAATATATCCTCAAATACCAGCCGCACTCTGTATATATGAATTCAAATATAATTTTTAGTTGATACCAGTGTAACAGACAACTTTTCTTTTATTTTAAACAGTGTCTATCGGCTTGTGCACTTAGGAAAAAAAACAGAAAAAATCTGCTCTCCGGCAGGGTATTTTTTAATACGTTTTCTCAAGTGCGCAGGTTGATAGACGTAACACAGACTGCTTAAAGCAAAGAACGGTGTGTCTATTTCAAAGATGGTAGCATTTGAAATAATAAAAATGTCTGATTTAAAGTAAATTCATGAATTCTTCCGACATTGTACATTTGTTAAATTACGCTTTGAACCATTGTATCTTAGAAATGATTAAAGATATCTTACTGGAATTCTCCAAGGTTTTTATAACACTATTGTACTCTACTTTGAGCAATAAGAATGTATAATTACTCTCTAAGTTTAGCAGAAGAATCGTGATGAAAATGACATGTTCATCATTAATTAATAGCTAAGGATCGGAAGCTCAGGAAGGATTGAAATGAAGTTCAAATATATATATACTAGCAGCATGGCCCGGCGTTGCCCGTGCTTGATTCAAAAATCGTACGACTCATACAACAATCGCTATCACTTGACTTAAAATATTTTTGCCCTTCCTTGCCTTTAAAGGAGTGCCCTTTGCCGTGCTGATGTTGCTATATGCTTACTTCTTGCCTATCTCACACTGCGAATTTTTTCTAAGCTCTATACTAAACATTAAATCTGTTACGAAAAAAGAACTAAACAAAATGAACACAAAACGACCAGCTTTAAAAAGGAGTCGTAACTGGAAAAACCGAATGAAAAAGAAATACAACAACAAATACAACCCAGTTCTGCGGAATCAGAATCAACGTTGAGTTTAAAAAGCGAATGAGCCAATAGAATCTTCCTGCTTATTCGTGGCAGCCAGCTATATGCTCTCACTCATGAAAACTGCCGTAGAAGCAAGAAAAATCGATTATTTCCACTATCGATGGGAGTTGGGATATGCAAAGTCGGTCTTGGCCTTCCCGCTAACTTGGAGCATGTGCATGTAAATTTTGGTGCAAATCCGTCGAAAATTGCGACCGTGCATTCGTTACAAACACACACACACACACACACACAAAAAACCTTATATATATATATATATATATATATATATATATATATATATATATGGATGTGTATACCACACATCTTCCTTAAATTTAAAATAATTTTTGAACTATTCACTTACACTAAAACGTCTCAAATTCAAAATTTTCTATCATGCAAGGGAGGTAACTTTTGTAAGCTTTCTTAAAAAAGAAAACGATTTTTAATTATAATATTTTAATTTAGTACATTTATATAACACTTTGTTGCTACAAACATTTATGAACTTTGTTGCTATACTCGTAGCTGGCTTAAACTTTTTAGCGCAATTCTCTTACATAACGAGCTTCCAAAACTTGAAGTCTTTCTTTATTATTATTTTTGATGAAGTACTAATGTATTTTCGACTAATAGCTGTCTAAACTATATATATATATATATATATATATATATATATATATATATATATATATATACTGAGTTCCTCTTAGTCTATAGCAATAAGACAGGTGAATTTCGTCGGTTGAAATAAGCTTATTTCCCATATGATGTGATTTGTGATTTTATTGCTTATTAGTTATTTGCTCTGTAATAATAAATATATTGAGCTCTTTTTGTGGATCAGTTTTAGTATTTTATATTACTAGGATCCACTTGGATTATATACGAACAGATTATTACCTTTACATTTTCACTCTCTCTTGCGCACGCGAAAATCTGTCTCTCTCCATATATATATATATATATATATATATATATATATATATATATATATATATAATGTTACTATATGTACAAGGATAAATGCACAATATCGGAAATAGATCGTCTACGTATATATATATATATATATATATATATATATAATAATGTATATATATATATATATATATATATAATATATATATATATATATATATATATATATATATATATATATATTAGTAGTTTAATTAACCATAAAATCTCATATTAGCTTGTTTGGGGTAAGACAACCAACGAAATCTTCCTCAGTGTTATTCAACCCCTGCGATGTAAACTAAGATCGTGTCGGAATTTGAAATTTAACTGTGACAGCTGTCGAAAAATTGATACAGAAATTATTCATATGAGATAATTTGGTATTTTATTGTTTATTACAATTTATTTGCTCTGTAATAATAAATACATTGAGCTCTTTTTGTGGATCAGTTTTAATATTTTATATTACTAGGGTCCACTTGGATTATGTAACAACGGATCTATTACCTGTACTGTGTGTGTGTGTGTGTGTGTGTTTGTCTTTATTTGAATATGACAGGCACGGATTTTATTATTTAGACATAACAAGAACTACATCTTAAACAGACAAACATAAAAAGAAATTAGCAACACTTAACAACAAACCCCCATTGAAAATGGCTAGAGAAGTGGCCGAAAGAGTTTGGGGCAATAAACATTACGGAGAAAAATGTCGCTTAAAGTCACTGCTCCGACCTAGCTTAATCAGCAAAGCATCTACGTAGCCGAGTCGCTTAATGCACATTGAATCAAACAACAACTTTAATTTAAGCAAGTACTTTCGAAGATCCATGTCTTCATCGTCAGGCTGTAATTTTTTTCCTTTAAAGTTAAAACTTGAAGACGAAATAATTATTTGTAGAGTGAAAGATGCGAGTCGCAAAGCTAAAGTTCAAAATTTCAAGTGAGAATTTTTATATGAATTTTGTAATATGGTAAATCCACGAATTCTTTTTTTACAAGTGTTTTTCAGTTAACATGACATAAACTAAGTATATAGTTCAATTAATATAGTGATGTTTAGTAGTTTTTTTCTCTCAGGAATTTCGTATTTTTAACTTGAAAAAATATAAACTAGAAACATCTGACAACAGTTTTATAAATGAGGATCACATCATTCACTGGATTAACAGTATTTTAATGCATACATTATGCTTGTACTAGCGAAGTGATTTCGCCATTAATCGCATTAATATTGCTGATTTATTCTATGCATTATTATTTCTTTATATATATATATATATATGTATATATACATATATATAATATATAAATACATATAAAGATATATATATATATATATATATATATATATATATATATATATATATATATATATATATATATATATTTAATTTCCGCTTGAAACAGTGATCAATCTGTTTCCCACCTACTATTTCGTCTATATTTTTCATTCCGTTTTTTTGCCTGGTCATTTTTCTCCTTTCTTTGAATTATTTCATCTCTCTCTCTCTCTCCTCACACACACAATCACACACACACATACACACACACAAACATTTATACATACATACATTAATAAAATTTCTCGAATATTCATGCCGGTAGACGAAAATAAATGTACTGATTGAAAAAAAAAAACGAACTGTCTACTCAACTGTGGCTATCCACTAAAAAAAATAACGTTTAAATTGCTGAAAAATATTAAAAAAATAAAAAAATTCATTACTTCTTTAGATATATATATATATATATATATATATATATATATATATATATATATAGAGAGAGAGAGAGAGAGAGAGATAGATACAATACACATATATTTGAGACATTTTTATGTTTATACGTTCTTTTTATACATACAAAGATTTTTCAGTAAATGCTTCTGTTTATAATAAACTTATTAACAGCATTTTATAATTAAATATTTCTCTTTGAAATAACCTATAAACATAAAAATGTCTTAAAAACCATTGGACTTTGTCCATTTCATAATGTGTGATATATATATATATATATATATATATATATATATATATATATATATTTAAAACCTACCACGTATTAGTAACTCGACATTGATCTGAAATTTTAATTCTCTAATGTTCGCTCTAATAAATGTGCTTAATATTCATAGACAGATTAAGTGCGTTGACAGGGGAGGCGTTTATTTGTATTTGTTACAGAAAATTAATGCGTTTTCAGCACTAGGCTACGAACTTACTGATGTACCTTGGAATGTCTCTCCCCCCTCTCTCTATATATATATATATATATATATATATATATATATAACCTCTTTCTTTCTCATCCTTCTTTCTCTCAATTGCACCAATAACAACAAGTACATCTTGGAAGCAAGGGATTCATTTTGTAAACAAGATTGTGTTACCACCCACAATACTTCGCCAAGCCAGATGGATGGGAGTGTCCTCAAGTGTTATGTTGGAATCGGCGGGAAAAAGTTGTTGCCACGGGACGTGGGTGGGGGTTGATTGTAAGAGTAGGCGACCGTTGCACGAGCGTGGGCGGGGGCCTGGTAGATGACGAGATACTGAAATTCGGCATTTTTTCAAAGTGGAGTCAAAACAGGCGAACAAAGGAATAGTCTTTTAGGATTAACTTCTTCAGGCTTTCCATTCTCATTCTCTTTTTGAATTTTTAATTTCAATATTTTTCATTATTCCTGCCATTTTTCTTCCGTTTTTTTTTTCTTTCTTTTCTTTACTTTCTTTTTTTTTTCTTCCATTCTTGTTGAGTTGCTTTTTTTCGGGCCTTTCGTTTTGGTATTTACTACGCAGGACTTTATAAGATAAAAAGTAAATAATAATAGGAAGATTGTGTTGCGTCAGCCTGACTTTGAATTATTAGTTTTATATAGCTTGCTTCTATTTTTCTTTTCTTTTCTTTGGTTAATTGCTTGTTTCTTTTTTCTTTGCTTGCTTATTTTTTCTTTATTTTTTTCTTATTCTCTTCTTTCTCACTTTCTTTCTTTACCTATTTCAGTTTTCCTTTTTCTTTTTGTTCAATTTGCTTGTTTCTTTTGTTCGTTGTCTGCTTTTTCTTTCTTTCTTTCTTTCATTTTTTTCTTTCTTTCTTTCTTTCTTTCTTTCTTTTCTCTGTGTACTACTGTTTTCGTTTTCTTTGTCGTGTTATGTTTACTTTCTTTCCACCTTTTCTGCTTCTTTTTCCTTTTCGTTTTCCTTTTAATTGCTGGCTTCTTTTTTTCTTATTCGTTTTATGCTTTCTTTCTTTCTTTCTTTCTTTCTTAATTACCTGCTTCTTTTTTCTCTTTCTCTTTCTTTCCTCTTTTTCAATAAATTTATTCTTTCCTTTTTACTGTTCCCGTTTTTTTTATTTCTTCGTGTTCATGCTTCTTTTATTTTCTTCTTACTTTCATATTTGGGTTCCTTAAGATAGACTGCTCTCTCTTTCTTTCTTTATTATTTATTCAAATATTCTTTCTTTCTTTCTTTCTTTCTTTCTTTCTTTCTTTCTTTCTTTACCCATTTGCCTCTGTGTATCCCGCCATGTTTCCCGATGTCTGTTTGTTTCATTCAAAATTCTTCTTTGGAAAAATCATCACAAAAACACGAAAGGAGGTAAAATCACGAAGAACACAAAACGTAACATAATTGTGTCAAATAAAAACCCAACGTACAACAAAGGAACAAAACACAAACCAAACACACCAAGTTCAACTAAGAACGCAAAAAGTGAAAATTGAAAAGATATACCGTTCACAATAATACACTAACACAATGCTGCGATAATGATATAATACAATGTAGACATTTAAATTAATCCACACATCCACACACACAAACACAAACATACACAAGCACGCGCACAGTTTTCAGTCAAATTAAATATTATAAATATTTAATTAACGCATTAAATATCTATGAAGTGTTGTAACAGAGAACGGAAAGTCTGATATTTAAATTCGAAGTCTAATTGAGATAGCTTTCCAAAAGTTAAGCAAAGAATTAAGAAACAAGAAAATTTCTTTGGAAACAAAGAAAAGAGTCGTGAAATGTTATCAGTTCTCCTATATGTTAGTGAATGCTGGACAATCTCCTCACAGATGAAGAAGAGACTTGAAGCAAAGAAAAGAATACTGAACTGTTATGTAATATCAGTCATCTTATATGGTAGTGAATGCTAAACAATTTCTTTACAAATGAAGAAGAGACTTGAAGCAACAGAAACAAAGAAAGGTGTACTGAACTGTTATGTAATATCAGTCCTCCTATATGGTACTGAATGTTGGACAATCTCCTCACGGTTGAAGAAGAGACTTGAAGCAAAAGAAACAAAGAAAAGATACTGAAATGGTACGTAATATCAGTCCTTCCCTATGGCAGTGAATGATGCACCTTCTCAGAGAGCGCAAAGACAAAAATGGGCCTCCTTATTTATATGGCGGTCCCTGCAGACTGAAATGTATCTTTGAAATTCTTCAAAAAACTATCAAAGTACAAGGATCTTGAAATCGAAATCTCAAAAATGTGGCGCATGAGGAGAATAACAATTCCAGTTGTAGTTGGAGCCCTCGGGGTGATTGGAAAATATTTCAATACACTCATTGAACGAATCTCCGGTAGCTCATGCCTTAAAGAAATGCAAAAAAAAAAAAAAAAATTGTACAGTCCACATCTTACGAAGGGCTTTGTTTATGTAAAATATGTGTGACATTATTTTTCTCAAAACTGCTCAATGGAAAATATCATGATGCCATTTCTGACCTTAGATCTCTGGTCGGGACCCAGAAAGAAATGAGTATACACCAGCAACCAAAGGAATAATAATAATAATAATAATAATAATAATAAGAAGAAGAAGAAGAAGAAGAAGAAGGAGAAGAAGAAGAAGAATTAATACAAAGGTTATCACTGAAAGACTATCAGATAGTGAATTTATCAATAAATAAAATTTCCAAATTTAAATTTGCTTCAGAGCATATTAGCAGGGCCCAATGAGGCAAAATCTCAACCAGATTTATTCTTTATTGTATTAAACAAAAGGCATCCCACCGTGTATATAAGCTCATGAAGGCTGGTTTTCGGTACACCAATGTTAAATACCCCGGATCCATTCTGTGTACCAGAACATCCAGAAAGGAAAGCATTTCGTTGCTCTCCTCTTTACATAGTAATTTCAAAATAATATATTAATGATAATTATTACGCGTTTAAGTATCTTTATATATTTCTGAGATGAGGTATTATGTATATTATTTACATTATTCGGACTATTGTCCTCATCTTTGTTGCCATATTTATTACAACGTTTCGGCCTTTCAGTATCTGTCTATATTTCCGAGATGAGTTATTATGTACACTATTTACATTATTCGGACTATTTACCTAATCTTTGTCGCCATATTTATTACAACGTTTCGGCCCTTAAGTATCTGTCTATATTTCTGAGATGAGTTATTATGTAAACTATTTACATTATTCGGACTATTATCCTCATCTTTGTTGCCATATTTATTACAACGTTTCGGCCTTTCAGTATCTGTCTATATTTCTGAGATGAGGTATTATGTACATTATTTACATTATTCGGACTATTGTCCTCATCTTTGTTGCCATATTTATTACAATGTTTCGGCCTTTCAGTATCTGTCTATATTTCTGAAATGAGGTGTGATGTACACTATTTACATTATTTGGACTATTGTCCTCATCTTTGTCGCCATGTTTAGCACAACGTTTCGGTCGTTGTACGCTCTGGCCTTCTTCAGGTGGTTGGAATGACGAACTGAACCCTTTATTTCGCTTACTGGAGTAGATTTTTCTAGTTCTACGTGCCAGATCTAATGGAAGTCACTTATCAGTTATCTCCTGTTAATTCACCTCTCCAATTTCTCCATTGCCTTAACCGGGTATTGAACTCACACTCTTTGGGTCCTGTCACTGGATCTAACCAACGCCTTTATCGACTGTGCAATGTGTCCTTATGTAACGTTCGGCTTTCATTGATCGATCAACCAGGGCTGCTGTCGGTTGAAATTTATAAAATTCAGGAAAACTTTTCTCATCATGGGAGAAAATTGACAAACTTTTACGAAGCATTACATTTCTTAACAAATCTTATTGACCTTTACAGATAGATTTAAAGCGAGGATTAAATTTAAATTAAGTTTATAAATATGTAAAAGAAATCTGTTTTTTCACAATGACTCTGTATACCTCGCTACAAAATGTATAACATATTTTGAAAATGACTTCTGCTAGCAATGAACTTCTTAAACACTTATTACATTTCTGTTAATTCACTACAAAATAAAAGTGTATATATATATATATATATATATATATATATATATATATATATATATATATATATATATTCAAAAACATTTAGGTAAATTTTTATTTATGCACGTTTGATTAAAAACAACAAAAGTTCTTATGGGATATTCTTTATTTCATTTTTCAATATTTCCAATAATTTTTTCGATTTCCGCTTTGAATCTTCCCATCTTCCTATCCTTCTTATCTCACTCCACACACACACGCAGACACACACGCAGACACACGCAGACACACACGCAGACACACACGCAGACACACACACTATGAACCCTGACGATCGGCGTAGGTGAAACCTAGGTAGGTTTGCCTGGCTCTTTAGGTTCATTGTCAGATTTGCTCTACTTAGCGTATTGAGCACTTTGCTTAGTTATTTTTATTTTACTCGTGTTGGAGGTTTCTTTTCCTTTGGACTCTGAGCTTGGATTCTGGACGATTGTTTTCGCCTCAATTTCATGGTCTTAGTTCTTTCGTTTTTTTTTATTCCTTATTTTTCCTTGGGTATTGGTTTGTTCAATTACAAGCCAATATACCTAAGATTTTTTCCGGACGAGTATACTTATATTATATTTATATATATATATATATATATATATATATATATATATATATATATATATATATATATATATATATATATATATATATGTCAGGTGCGGATACACAAAAATACATACACACACACACACATATATTTACAAATATTAGGTGTATTTTCAATTTCATTTATATAAGTTTGATTAAATGCCAACGAATGTTCCTTGTTGATTACTTTTTCGTTTATTTTTCAATATTCCTGATTATTTTTGATTTCAGGTTCCTGTTTGTTCCTATTTGTTATCAAGGATTTTGTTTTTCGGTTTTCAAATATCACGATTCACGTTTTCACTTTTAAATCTCGCTTTTCGCGTATCCACGAGAGTTCGTGTATTCACGTCAGTGTACTTGTCTTATATTTCCTTTTAAAATACTTTTTTTTAATTAATATTTATATATATATATATATATATATATATATATATATATATATATAGTATGTTTTCATCCGACTTTTGATTTGATGTAATTTTATTGATTTACGCTGCTTTCTTTTTATGCCCAGTGCCGCAAGCATTTGCAATCGTTTTTACAGATTATGCGATATAGAATGTTTGGTAAGTATTTGTCTGGTTTCTTGTGTTTTTCCTTTGTGTTGATTGATGAGATTTGATTAATTTGGGGTATTATCAGTTAACTGGCATGTTAAATGGCGTAACAATGTATTGTTATTATTCAGTCAAGTTGGTGGGGGGAAACAGAGCGTCAATTGTGGAGCATTCAGTAAGGATTGAACTCGTTACACTTGAATAATGGCTAAACAGATGAATTCGTTGATGATTACACGAGAGAAAAGCCAGGGAAAATGAAAGGTGGGGAGCGGAAAATGAAAAGAGAAGAGCAGAAAATGAGAAATGGGGTGCAGAAAATGTAATGTGGGGAGCAGAAAATGACATGTGGGGAGCGGAAATCTTTCTATTTTTTACCTGTCTATTTATCTATCTAAGTCTCTTCATTATCTATCTATCTATCTATCCCATCTTATTCTAGACAGATCTATCTATCTATCTATCTATCTATCTATCTATCTATCTATCTATCCCATCTTATTCTAGACAGATCTATCTATCTATCTATCTATCTATCTATCTATCTATCTATCTATCTATCTATCTCGGTCTACGTGTGTAAAGGAACTTTTGCGATACTAATTTTCTCTGACATTCGTCAAACATTGCTCAACGACGAAGCTTCTTACTTATGTACTCAAATAAATGTACGTATGTTTACATTCACAGATCTGATTCCCTGATGTCTGATTCACTTGTGCACACGTATGAAACATGAAGACGAAAATGATAAAACTCCCAGATCGTCCAAACAGAAGAAGAATTGAAAGCAATACAACAAATGTTAAAGAGAGTTCGAGAAAGTACGAGGGAAATCGACGGGGGCGGGGTTCTGTTAAGAGACAAAGGTAGAGAAAAGAAATTTAAAACTATTCGAGATATTTATAGCTGTAAAAAAAATGCAACGACAAAAACAGAATAGAAAGTTAAGTTTGGCGGGAAAATATCCATCTCGAAACGGAAGTAATCGGGTATTCGGTTTTTCCCGCCAACTGCCGGCGATAATTACACCGGAAGTTTTTTTCTGGCCACAAATCTCCGTATTTTTTCCACTCAAATAACCGATTCCCACGGATGGCATATGGAAATACAAAGGAAAGCCATTAACAAATTAAAATAAAATTTTAGAAAAGTAATGAAATAAAATAAACAAAATGGAGTGTAGCTTAGTGAGCAGAGCGAAGGGCGGCAGATTTCGAGGAAATTAGCTGAAGATCAAGATCTTAACTTTTTCGGGTAAAATGCAAAATAATCGCTGTTTCTTTCAAAATGTCTGGTTAGTGAATGTCTTTAACATTAATTAAAATTATAGGATCATGTACTAACCTGTGTTAAAAATGGTAAAAAGAGCGAAATCAAGTAACAAGAAACAGACGTACACAAATCCTTTTTTTTCACTAAATATCAACCCAATAAAAGGCCCAAGAGCCACTCAAGTTAGAGGGTTACTGAATGAGTCTGTTATATGGACATAAGAAGAGGGAGTAAGTGCAGATTATGAGGATATGTAGGGTAGATAACGGTCGACCTTAGACTTGAAGACGTTAAGATTGTAGTGATCGAGCCTGTTCCACAATATATATATATATATATATATATATATATATATATATATTGTGGCCTGACGATTGCATATAGCATGAAACAGACTGTCGCCTCTAAGTGTTGACTTCTATGTTCACTTTTATATTTTACACACGCTCTATCTCTGATATCGAGCACTTTATCCCATAAATATAGCACACCTTAAGACTATATTTCTTCATATATATATATATATATATATATATATATATATATATATACACATTTTACACACACACACACATATATATATATATATATACATATATATATCTGTGTGTGTAATCTATTTATATAGTATAGGTGACACATCCGTGGGTATATAATGCAAGTGGATCTTAGTAATATAAAAATATTATATATATTATGTTTGTCTGTTTAAGATCTAGTTCTTGTTATGTCTAAATAATAAATTCCTTGCCTGTCATATTCAAATAAATACACACACACACACACATATATATATATATATATATATATATATATTACAGGTAATAAATCTATTGGTATATAATCCAAGTGGATCCTAGTAAGATAAAATATTAAAACTGATCCACAAAAAAAAAAGAAGCTCAAGGTATTTATCATTCCACAGCAGAAATGAATATACAATAAAACCCAAAATCACCTCATATAGTGAGTAAGCTTATTTCGACAGACGAAAATATAATTCTTTAGTCTTATTCAACCCCGGTATAGATTGAGTTCGTGTCGGAATTCGATATATATATATTTCGTCAGTTGAAATAAGCTTTTCCATATGAGCTGATTTTGGATTTTATTGTTTATATTATATATATATATATATATATATATATATATATATATATATATATATATATATATATAATAAAATAAATACACCGAGAAGATACTTTTAGTTAAGTTTTTTATTGCAGTTAAGTTTTTTTCTTTATATGAATGTTTTTATTTTAAAACAGTTTTTTTTTTTATATTTATTGTAATGTTAATTAACTTGTTGAGTCGTATAAAAGAAGAATTTCTGCTCAAATACACTATTAAATTACATGACCCGAAAGTCGAAAAGAAAGTAACACTTCAATATTGAGAAAAAAAAACTTCGTTCTAAAATAAAGCATTCTATGAATAATTTAAAAAAAAAAATTAACCGTAGTTCCTTGTCAGTCGTACTTAATGAAACTTAATATAAAAGAGGGATTGCCGCTCAAATACGCATTTATTAAATTACATGACCCTGCAGTCAACAAGGATTGTTGCCCAAATACACACACAAAAACACACACACTTTTCTTCTTGATTTATTAATATTAAAATGCTCTGTAGTTTGCATTAAACTCTCTCTGATTAATATCCTCCTCAGAATTATCGCTACCAGTCAGAAAAGGTAATGTAATATATATATATATATATATATATATATATATATATATATATATATATATATATATATATATATATATAATCCATACGATAAGAACGAAAGTAATATATAAATTCCAACGTTGACAGCATTAATCCAAAAAGGGCTCGATACCGATAGTAGACCGATAATTATTTATTTATTATAATTTTATCATATAGACAAAGCCATTTTACTCACTACAAAGATGCAACTTGTTTTCAGTGCATTTCAACTGCACTTCGACGGGTGACAATCAAATATCGTTATGAACAATCCTGGTTGTAGGCAAGCCGTATGTGAAACGTCACGTTTTCGTTTGTTTCACTCCGTCACCTTTTTTTATGTATATTTTTCTTCTCAAACAAATAGAATAAAGGAAGCGTCCCCTAGTAGCGGTTTCGAGAATTAGGAGGAGTTAACCCGACACTGATCATGTCTATGCTTTTTTTGTCTCGTTCTTATTTTTATTTAGTACTGTTCAGTTATTGTTCATCTGTTTCCCCTGAGTACAAGTACACGCTGTCCGATAGTATACACCCGTAGATTAAATAAAGGGTTCAGTTCGGGTATGCGATAAACTAGTTCAGAATAATACCCGGGGTATTAAGGTTAGCCTACTTTATACCTTGGGGTATAAAATAGCTCAGTCTATACAGTATCGCCTAGTCTAGCGAATGAAGCCTGTAGGTCTTAAACAGGACCTTTCTTCTTTGATACCAAATACCATAATCCACATTAAAACAACTAAAATGGGTAGCAATTCAAAGAGAAAATAATGACTTAGGCAAGATGCTTATGTTGCACATTATTTGAAACAAAAGTTTTGGAAAGGAAGCCCCTTATCAACACTGGAAAGAGCGATAGCAATTAGTAGACTTGATAATCTGATTTTCCTGATAAATCGTTTTAATAGAAATATTTTATAAATTTCAACCACTGGGCGTTCAGCCAGTGAATGCCAAATGTTTCCTTATAAAGAAACGGTTAATATTGTTGTTACCATTCCTGCTTGCGCTATTCATACCAACAGCTGTTTTTAATTAGAATGTTAAGAAAAATGATTACTCTTCAATAATTTTGACCCAAATCAGTAAAAATCCAGATATTAGGCCCACCAGTTTAACGACCACGGAACTCGAATAAAATTGATATAGAATACAGACAAAAAAAATTCTCTGCTGACGTGTGACGCTACATCATTTGTATACTTGGCCACTTGTATACGAGGATATCCGTCTACTAGGGCGGCTAGCCAATCCCTATTGCAGACGCTTGCTCAGGCGCATTTGTGTTTATTCAACACCCACAGAGCCCACCTGTGGTTTATACTGCAACTATGCTGAGCCGACCTTAGTTACAGTTTCAGGGAAAGAGCGTGTTATCTAGCGTCATCAACAATTTGAACAAAGAACAGCACGCTCAAACCCTCTGGCCACGATGACTTGTGACTTCGTGCTAGCATAGCCATCGACGGCCCCCAAGGGTTCCGTTTATATAATTTCATCACAAGGCTTGGGTCAACCCGTGGTATGGTTTTCAGGCACTTTCAAACGTGCCGTACGCTGGGATCGATCCCTCCAGTCCGATAACACCAGGAAGTCTCCTTCCTAACAAATCGACCATGGTGAGAATCGAACCTGCGCCTCATATTCAGAATGTGAACGTTCTAACCACTCGGCTATCATTTGTGGATGCAATAATATTAATCTTGCTAATAATTATTAAAAATCTAAAACATATTCAAATTTATAAAAAATTTGATTTATATTGGAACAATTTCTAACCCCATTTTATACACTTAGGAGATATACTTTGCCAATAAAGAATGAAATCCAGTGTATAAAGGAATCTTAGAATAACTTAGTCATATTCTTGGTTGTCACACTGGGAACCAAAGGAAAAAAATCCTTCATTTATGCTGTTCAATTAAAACAAAGTTGATGAATTAAAATTTGTGCATTGATATAACCTTGTGGAACATTGCTAAAAAAATTCATTTCTCTGGTTAGACATTTTATATACTAGTTTTGTTAAAAGTTTGAATTTGGACACAATTTGATTTTGGAGGATATTCTGTCCATTAATCTGCCATTCAGAGTTCTTTCATTGTTTGTTTCTTGGATGATTTGACTGATTTTGCTTGGAAAAAATAGAAAAAAAAAAAAACTCTATTTAAAACTAACAAATAGAATAGAAAATAAAAACAAGAAAAGCAAAGAATGCCAAAACTTTCCTCAAAATTCAAATTTTCTATCTATCTATAAATGAGTTGTCTGGTACGAAATGAAACAAAATATTTAAATAATGAACTAATGTTTTCTTGATTACGTTTTTCATTATTGTTCCAACGTGTGGTATGTTTGTCTATTTAAAAACGGTTAGCTAGAAAATAAATGCTAAATCCCACCTGTTCGTGTGTTAATTAATACACAAAATTGAAATACGGAATATTTGCTTATATCTGTGGGATGTATTTCATCAGAAAGGAACATTCATTTGCACACGGGCAATAAAATTAAGAGAACTGGCTATAAAATTATATAAATTTTATTATTACTATATATGACCAAAAAAGATATAAATCACATGATATAATATATATATATATAAAATATAAATATATATATATATATTTATATATATATATATATATATATATTCGGAT